CCTCCCTAGAGGCGGGCTACCGAAGTTGAAAAGTTTCGTGAACGGTGCATTAAGAATTTTCAAAAGTACGATCCCAGAAGTTGGAAGGATGGGAAAACTAAAGAAGCTGGATTTATGCGAAATTCCTGACGTCGCTTATCCGCGAGCAAGTATAGTTATTGGGGATATCGTGACGCTAGGACGGTATTGTTGGAGGGACGTAACAGATTTGAGGTTGTGTGGGTTAGAAAGTCCGGATTTGTTGGTCTGCCTAGGTATTTATGCATACACTCTAAATAACTTGGGACAAATTGTGACACACGTAAGGATAAAGGTGCTCTATTGTTAGGTAATGATTAGTTAAGCGCTTTGCAACCAATAAAAATTAAGTCAGAAACTCGTGTTATGAGTAAACGTGACCTCGTTATTTAAAAAGTTAACTATGTATCTTCATGTAAAAAATGTTCTATTCAGAATGTTAAGTAACGACGACGTCACATCTGTTCCTTGCTCCAATTTTTGACGTATTTCTTGGTGAGAAAAGCTCCTTAATCACTGCCGAAAAACAGAGTACTATATGTAAATATGTGGAACCTCCGCGGGGGACGATTTGTCTCCAAGTTACAGATATTTTGCCAATATTCGCAATTTTTTTCCAACTAGAACATGTACATATGTAAAAACACTATTTCAATTTGTATAAAAATTTTAGCGTCCAGGTTCCCATCCTTGAAAAAACTTAGCGTCACGGTGAGCGAGTGTAAGACAACACAAAATAAAAATTTCCTGCTCATTGTTTTCAAGAAGTTGGCAACCCTCCCGTTTCTGACGCACGTTGCAGTCGTGGCCCCCTTTCCGACCGAGTTCCCCCAACTTGTAGACTTTCTCCAATACCTACCACAATTTTCACCAGGTAAAAATTTACATAATTTTTAGTGAAATTATTTAATAATGTGTACTACATACATACATGAATTTACAGACATTACACAAGAAATAAGAGTCTCGCACTACGTATGTATGTAACGAAGACAGAAGCCCATTTGAAGAGAGTAAGTTTTACTCTAAAATCAGAAAAACAATTTGGACCGATTTTTCAGCCTCGTTCCTTCCCTGAGGAGACGAAAGTTGACCAAAGTTTCCGGAGTAGTTATCAATGGTCAGCCAGGTCTCGAGTTTAGCACAGATTGTGAATTTAATTCGAAGCGATTTTGTTTTTCAAATGAGATGTATTTTTTATAAAAATGGTTATTATCGGTGCTAAGAAGTATATTTGAGATGATATCATAAATACTTGTGGTTTAGCTAAAAAAAGTTTAACTAGCTTATGTACTTATGTATGTAGGTATGTTCATTGTGCACATGTCGTAAAATAAATTAAATATACACATTTATCTATTGGTCAAAAAATTCAACATGAGGTCTCCAAAATTGTTTGTATAAATAAAGTCGAGCTACTGCTAACGTTATGATATGACCGTATACATAATTATTTTGCATAACTATGTTCATACATATACCTATTCAAATACCTAATGGGATTAACTTAATATTCTTAAATAAAACGTCAACCATTTGATTACGTTCAAGGTTTGCAAAACAGTTTCGTAAAGGCAAAGGTCATCATACCAGATAATCGATGAAGATTTTTCTATCAGTCGTCATGTACAAATTTTATGTAGATACATATGTGCATAGATATGTATTTACATATCAATCGCTACAACATTAAATTTCAAGTGTCACATACATACGGATATTTGGTAGAGGGTGTTCCGGAAGTAATGCAACTTTGGTCAAATGCACATATAAACTCAACGAATGAATTTTTTAAAGCGAAATTTTGGTCAGAAAGGGACAAAGGTTAAAGCTAATTAAGTTTTGCTTCCAATGGTCCGTACACCCCTTCCGCCAAATTTGGAGACGTTTTTGTTGGGCGCTCACAATTAGTGCTTCGCCACTGTTTTTGGTCACCTTTTTTGAGATTTTTGACCACATGTGTTGAAATAAGTTCAAATTTTTGACTGAAGTTTTTCGATTACAATATTTTTTCTAGGATAGGAACTAAAATTTTTCAATAGGTCTTGTATTTGGCAAATTTGGGAACGTTCACCTCTCCCATGTTAATTGCGTTTGATCCGTTTTAAGGCGGAGCGTGATACTTTGGCTTATATTTAATTTCCAGTTTTGCATAAATGGTTTTCTTGAAGGTGGGAGAGTTGTACTATGTGCAAATAAAAGCATTTTGATAATCTGAGCAGTAAATCGTCTTGTACAGGACGATCAATTTTGATTAATTTTAATTACTTCAGGTCAAGGATTTTTTCTGCCCTCCTGCTTGCTACTTTTATTTTACTCTTGACTATATTTATAAGCTTCTAGAACCTTCTAGGATTTGATGTCCAACTTCTAAGCTTTCAAATAATGTATGGTGTTCGGTGAGAACTTCAAGTACTTCAGCGAATTTCGCTCCGACATAACAAATTTCTATCTACACGAAGTTTATTACTTTCGGGGCTGCCACACGAATGTACCGACCAGATATTTTTTGCGATTAGTCGTTTTTTGCAGCTCATACCTTAGTATAACACAACAAATCGTCACTTTTGGAATTTCTTATTTTTTAAAGTGAACACAGCTCAATTTTTTAGAGCGCGTAACCACTTTTTCGAGGTAGTGGCAGACGATGGTTGCGAGTTGCTTGGTGGTATTTGACCTCATTTTGGAACGGATAGAGATATCGACTTCTGGTTTTCGGATTCTACTAGATAAATGTGTGGACTACAATATTCACCCAATTTCGAATTTGGGGCAAATTGATACCCTTGCATATATGCATTTTACCAAAGTTGCATTACTTCCGGAACACCCTCTAGTAGTTTGTTTCTGATTTGCAAAGTTTTCATTGCCACAAGATTACTTAATGTTAATGCCTGTTATTACCGTGCCAGTAGAGTCATAAGCATATTGAAATACATACTGTGACCAGTAATAATTTAATACCAGTTTTTTAGGAGTTAATTTATGTACATATATTACCGAATTTTAGTCACTTTATCGTCATGAATCGTTTAAGACTTCAATTATCCCACCACGCACAAACCCTGACCGCGTACGATGCTCTCCAACGTTTCGCAATATTTAGCGAGTCCTTATACGCACAATATTTCACGTGGGATAAATCGTCCTGGAAACCGCGGCCAACTTCGAAAAGTAGACTAATCCCGTGGTACGCAATTTCCATTCTCCTCTCTGGCCTGAACTTGGTCTACTTGCTTATCGTGCTACGAGAGATTTTGGCGTACGAGAAAGATCCCGAGATCAATATTCTCTCCGGAATTTTGTTACTGCTCACAATCTGCGTCTATTCCCTGGACATGGTAATTATTGCCATCTTTATTGGAAAAGTGACCGAGATATGTTTCGTACTGGGAAATTTGAGAAATATGAGGCAAATTGTGTTGAAACATGGTAAGCTTTTTAATAAAATGAGACAATTCACGCGATACCTGGTAACATGTAAAATCCGGAAGTTTTATGGAATAATTTCGTAAACTTTTATGAAATATTGAGACGCCGTTAGTCTGAGTAAATCTACACAAATTTGTACGCTAATTCACAGTAGAAATATTTGGAAAGTTTACAGATTTTATGGATTTGGTAAAGTTACCAAAGATTGTGAATTGGCTGAACGTAAATTTACTAGAAATAGATAGCATGGTAATAAATCTCTATTGGGAGTGTACGTATTTAACTTTGGTTATTTTTTTTATTAAGGGCTCAAAATGGAACCCAGGCTAATCGGGATCTTGCTCCACATCATTATTCCATCCCCATTTCCGATCTGCCTCATACTTTGTAGTGTTCCCCTTCTACTTCCAAATATTGACTCGACGTACTTCATATTTCGAAATATGTCATCTTTTCTCGGTCCAATTTTTACCTTAATTTGCAGAATTTCCTGCATATTTTTGGCCACCCTACACGGCAGCCTTCTCATTTATTCGTGCGTTATAAACGGTGCAAATATTGCACTCTTGTTACACTCCTGTTTAAGCGTGATGACGAAGAATCCTACACCCAAACAAAATAGCGCGGTAAATTCAAATTTGGGGAGCCTACCAAAAATAGTTGTTGTTCAAAGAAATCCCTCGTTTCCGGAAAACTTTCGGAATTATAGACAACTTCAAGTAATGCTTACGGTGATTAATCAGGTAGCCTTTGAAGCCCTTCCGGTCGCCATATTTGTCATGTTACTGTGTTGCATTAGCATGGGCTACATCGTGGTGGAGTTGACGGGCACGGTTACTTTTCCGATGACAATCATGGCAATTTTCACTCTCATTTTATTTACGGGACTTATCCATCTTTTGATGCCCTTGTTGGCCGAGGTGACGATTAGGTCGCTAAATTTCGTGGAGTATTGGTACCTTCAGAATATGTCGGGCTTTAGGAGGAAACAGTTGAGGAGTTGTAGAAGACTTTCAATTTGGATCGGGCCCTTCCTCAAGGTCACAAGGGCGATAAGGATCCAGTGCTTTTCCTTGGCACTTTATCACACCGTGTCGTTAGTCATTTTAATTTAGGTACGAGAATTATTGTTAATAGATAAGCTAGATTTTTTTCTAACATGGTTAAAGTTAAAACGAAAAATTTACATGCATATCCATGGTTATGTAATATTACATAACCATGTCTATTTTTTGTGATATATTTATTATTGAATATGTATTATACAAGTAGTTCATATGTACTTATATCCCGTAATCGTCTCAAAACTTTGGTAAATTGATAAGCATATTTGGATTGATATGTTTGTCGAACTGTAATAAGTAAATACAGATATGTATGTAACTCAAAACGCTGAATAAAGGGTTTTATAAATTAACGTATAAAACAAATTCCTTCGAAATTTGACTGGTGCCATGTATTTATGGTTGCATACAGGAATTTTTGTTATGCTGGTAATCATACCTGACTCATCTTTTGCAGCTCGGTTGCTAATACTTTTATATTTTTATTTACTTCAAAATTGAATGTAAAACAAGGCGCAGACATGTGTCCATTGAATTTGCATATTGAATACATTAAATGTCAATAAAGAATTACATATATAATATTTTGTTCCTTAATTGACAAGGACTTCGTACGCAACATTGATTGCTTTCATAAGCTCCTCGTTCCTGGCTCGTTCAGCTCCGGACAGATTGGGATTTTTGTCTAGAATACAAATTTAACGTTAATTTCGAACATTTCTCTAATTAAAAGGGATGCGGATAAGAAAATTTTACCATTTACCTGGATGATGCTTCAAGGCCATGGTGCGATACGCTTTCTTAATCTCATCTTTACTTGCGGACGGCTTAACGCCTAAAACTTCGTAATGGCTGGGTTTCGGCTTAGTGGCGGGCGGATTTGAATCTTGATCACCACCTCCAAACCCACCTCTACCCCCACGGCCTCCTCCAAAACGTCCTCCTCCAGTCCAACTTGATCCGCGTCCACCAGAATAATGTCCCCTACCGCTGCCGAACGGTCCACGACCTCGACCTCGACCACCACGAAAGCCTCCCCTGAATGAGCGGCTTTCTTCTTTACGTTTCGCAGCGGCAAGAATACTTATTATCAGAATACGACTGGTAGGATCGCCTTGAGCGGAATATTCCAATCGCTGCAATGCTTCGATAATGCCATCGTAAGTCAGGTCTGGATCCTGGTCCCATCCGTACCGATCCTTGAAGTAGACCAGTTTCTGAAATTTAGTAATTTTATGAAAACCCCGTTTTACTCTTAGAAATCTGGTATATTTAAGTAGTCGTGCAGGGATAGTTTTCTCTGTATTAAACTTGCAACCGCTTGGTACTAATTATATTGGACTACTTGCGCTGCGCACGGATATTCTAAAACTTAACTAAGGAGCTCTTACTTATTAATATCACCTTGGTAGAATCATATATGATTACCGCTTGGTATCATTTTAATACTGGATTTCTAAGGAGGAGAGCGTCACCACCTGCCCTTCACAGATCTCGATGCCCTTTGGATATGTGGTAGGGTCCTATGAGTGTACTATAACCCTGAAGTGGTTTGACTCCATGGCCACATTTGCGCCCGCCACACCCACTCAAAGGGATGAAAACCACAAAAGTTACCAACTTCAAAAATCCACCAAAAATCCAATTTTGATCGGATTTTGATAAAATTTACATTTTTGTAATCCCAGATACTTCTTTGATCATATCCAGTAGCAATCTAAACTTTTTTGAAATTTTCGAAATTTTCGGGCATTTTCGGGCTGATGAATTATTCGAAAAAATTCAAAATTTTAAAAAAGTTGAGATTGCCACTGGATATGATCAAGCAAGTATCTGGGATCACAAAAATGTAAATTTTGCCAAAATCCGAGCAAAATTAGATTTTTGGCGAGGGTTTGAACAAGTGAAAACAGGGCTTTTTTCGTGTTTTTGGCGCCTTTGAGTGGGTGTGGCGGGCGTAACTGTAGCCATGGAGTCAAATCACTTCAGGGTTTTACTACACTCATGGGACACTACCACATATCCAAAGCACATCAAGATCTGAGAGGGGCAGGTGGTGAAGCTCCCCTCCTAAGAGTGGGCTACTCTTTCGCAATAATTATTAAGTTAACTACATCACAACAGAGTAAAAGTACTTTATCATTCTATTTTCCCCACCTGCAAATCTGCTTCCATACAAGCACTATTTTTTTCATAAGCTGTCGCCCAGAATTGTAACGCTTCCTCAAATTCTTTCCGCATGCAGGCAAAAAATCCCTTCTGGACGTAAAAACTGGCAACCCGTTCATCCGAGAAGTCTTTCTCGTCTCGCTCAAATATTTCCTTAATGGCGTCCTCATTCTTGACCGGGTTGGCCATGTAGGTTTGTAAGAGTTGCAGCAATGCGGGGAAATTACGATTATCAGCTTCCACAGCGTAGCGAAAAAATTCTGCAGCTTTTGCCGCATCATTTTCTTAAAAAAGGAACCGAGAAGTAACAATTAGCCAAGAAACGTTTCATGAACATGTTAATTTTTAAATAAGCATGAATAGTTTCCACGATTTCAAATTTTCAAACACTTACCACGGTCAAGAAAAAAATGCCCATCCTATTATTCGCCTTGCTCGAGTTGGGATGGAACAAGAGGGCTCGCTCGATACACTTTTTAGTAAAAGGCAAATCACGAAATTTCTTGGGCAATGTTACCGAAAAAATTTCCGCAATCGTAATGTTGCATTGCACTGAGACGGGGTCCAGGTCCAAAATATCCCTAAAAAATAGATCGTGCTAAATAAATATCATCCACAATACGTTATCCTGTTCTCGATAAGCTACCTCGTCTCCTTCCGTAAGAATTGGACAGCTTCCTCTGCCCCAGAAAAGGTTTTTGTCACAAAGTCAATCCCAACCTGGGTCCGCTGGTACACATTTGCTCGGACATGTTCCGCCAGACAGGAAGCGTACGCAACCCGGACTCTTGGTCTTGATGGGGCCAATTTGACGGCTTCCAGGACTTCAGAAGTCTCTCGATGATCGGGAGAATCGTCACCGCGAATACCGTTGCGCCGTTTAAACTTGAGAACGTAGTGGAGTACGAGGTGCCATTCGGCTTGCGTCGGGTCCATGATTGCCATCTGAGTAAGAAATTCATGAGATATTTTAGGCTTAAAAAATAATGGGTAGAAAGTAAACCCTAAATAAAATTGTGTAAAAAAATTACTAGAGGTTAAGTATAACATTTGTGTACAATCAACCCATTTTTGGGTCATTTTCTGAGTAAATTTTGCACAACATTACGAGTGTATTTATTTTTGGATTTGAAAGTGTATTTGAAAGTCATCACCTGTGCCAACAGTTCAGCCTGCAGGTCGAATCCCTTCCGGTATGTTTCTCCGAGAAAGGTTGATTTCGCACTTAGCACACCGACTTGCCCTTTCCTTGGCAAACTTTGATAATCAGCTCCCTCACAATTGCTCCACTCTTTCAGCTTATCCAGAGTCGTCCCAACGCCACCCTGGCAAACGACCCTCCAGTATTGTTCCAAGATGGTTAGGAGATACTTAAACCCGTCGTAATACTCGATTGAAATGTATTTCCTCGCAATGAAACACTTTTCCAAAAAGTCGCTCGCCGATTGAAGCAACAGGTCGATTTTGTCGGCCTCTTTCTTCAGCTCCATTCCTAAGAAAAAATGCACAAATATTCAAAGAAAAAATTGTACAAAACCTGCCAGACTTGCCAATAAGATGTATCATAATGTGCTAAAAATTAATGCTAACCTACCCAGATAGCAGACCACTAATCGGTTTCCGACCAATTCAAAGGCACTATTTCTCTCCTCAATTTCGTCATCTTGCTGTCGAAGTTCTTCAAATTTCGAATTAATCGATGCGTAAGCGGTTCGTGCCACATAATCGAAAGTGTCCTGGTCTGGAATCCAATTAAAGAATGATTCCTGCCGTAAAATCCTGGCCTTTAGTAGCTTAACGAGGTCAGCCCTCTCCTTCTCGTCGTCAGCGTGAATACCGTCAGTAAGGTCCAACTTGGCGACACCCTCCTCCCACCCTTCGTTGGACGACATTACGACAAATTTTCTAAAAATAAAATGTTTAATGGAGTAGAAAATTAAACCGACAAGACAGTTAACATTTGACAAGGAGAAATTTCAGACGTCTGTGAAGTTAGAACCGGTTATGAGCAAAATTGAGACTCGGAACAATACAGTATGCACACACATTATTAGCACCCCTCAAAATCGGCTAATATCTGCTGCCGTAAATTAAGTAATAAAGGTCGCCATGCCTCCAGTGACCTAAAAATGACCTAAATCTGTCGCCATGCCTCCAATGACCTTAAAATGACCTAAATCTGTCGCCATGCCTCCAGTCACCTTAAAATGACCTAAATCTGTCGCCATGCCTCCAGTCACCTTAAAATGACCTAAATCTGTCGCCATGCCTCCAGTCACCTTAAAATGACCTAAATCTGTCGCCATGCCTCCAGTCACCTTAAAATGACCTAAATCTGTCGCCATGCCTCCAGTCACCTTAAAATGACCTAAATCTGTCGCCATGCCTCCAGTCACCTTAAAATGACCTAAATCTGTCGCCATGCCTCCAGTCACCTTAAAATGACCTAAATCTGTCGCCATGCCTCCAGTCACCTTAAAATGACCTAAATCTGTCGCCATGCCTCCAGTCACCTTAAAATGACCTAAATCTGTCGCCATGCCTCCAGTCACCTTAAAATGACCTAAATCTGTCGCCATGCCTCCAGTCACCTTAAAATGACCTAAATCTGTCGCCATGCCTCCAGTCACCTTAAAATGACCTAAATCTGTCGCCATGCCTCCAATGACCTTAAAATGACCTAAATCTGTCGCCATGCCTCCAGTCACCTTAAAATGACCTAAATCTGTCGCCATGCCTCCAGTCACCTTAAAATGACCTAAATCTGTCGCCATGCCTCCAGTGACCTTAAAATGACCTAAATCTGTCAACATGCCTCCAGTGACCTTAAAATGACCTAAATCTGTCGCCATGCCTCCAGTGACCTTAAAATGACCTAAATCTGTCAACATGCCTCCAATGACCTTAAAATTGCCTAAATCTGTCAACATGCCTCCAGTGACCTTAAAATGACCTATATCTGTCGCCATGCCTCCAATGACCTTAAAATTGCCTAAATCTGTCAACATGGCTCCACTTGTCAATTTCTAGTCAATTTATGTCATGATTGGATTTTGACTTCCCCAGCGCGGCATTTCACTTACGGCATTCTTTGAAATCGAAAATAATGCACAATTACATGCTCCATAAGACTCCGCCGACCCGCATCCTGACAAAAAATTTCCCGCCCCGCACTTGTCAATATCTAGTCAATTTATGTCATGATTGGATTTTGACTTCCCCAGCGCGGCATTTCACTTACGGCATTCCTTGAAATCGAAAATAATGCACAATTTCATACTCCATAAGACTTCGCCGACCCGCATCCTGACAAAAAATTTCCCGCCCCGCACTTGTCAATTTCTAGTCAATTTATGTCATGATTGGATTTTGACTTCCCCAGCGCGGCATTTCACTTACGGCATTCTTTGAAATCGAAAATAATGCACAATTACATGCTCCATAAGACTCCGCCGACCCGCATCCTGACAAAAAATTTCCCGCCCCGCACTTGTCAATATCTAGTCAATTTATGTCATGATTGGAGTTTGACTTCCCCAGCGCGGCATTTCACTTACGGCATTCTTTGAAATCGAAAATAATGCACAATTACATGCTCCATAAGACTCCGCCGACCCGCATCCTGACAAAAAATTTCCCGCCCCGCACTTGTCAATTTCTAGTCAATTTATGTCATGATTGGATTTTGACTTCCCCAGCGCGGCATTTCACTTACGGCATTCTTTGAAATTTAAAATAATGCACAATTACATGCTCCATAAGACTCCGCCGACCCGCATCCTGACAAAAAATTTCCCGCCCCGCACTTGTCAATTTCTAGTCAATTTATGTCATGATTGGATTTTGATTTCCCCAGCGCGGCATTTGACTTACGGCATTCTTTGAAAATTAAAATAATGCACAATTACATGCTTCATAAGACTCCGCCCACCCGCATCCGGACAAAAAATTTCCTGCCCAGGACTTGTATTTTTACAATGACAATTTGTACTCATCACATTATAAATATTTATATGAGCAGAAGTTACGGAATCACTTCAAATAATAATGCGCAATTACACGATGTGCATAAGGGTTGCTGCCGTGGATAAAAATTGGTCCCGCGTCGCGAGTCAATACATTTTCATGCAGACTAAATTGATGGAATGTATATAAATAAATTTATTTACACGATTGAAAAAATTAAAATAGGTTAAAATTTGTTGGAGTTTGTTTAATTAGTTATTTGTGAAAAGATTAGTTAAAAGAGTAAAATAATTTTGTACGCTCCTGAATGGAATTTTTGTTGCGCGTTTGTTAAGTTGGAAAATTGTTTTCCAGTTCCCTCTGAGCGTGTTCGAGAGGCATTTGCATAATTTTGGAGTAAATCCGTTCAAAAGCTTCGGGTACGAGCACGTTGGATACTTGTAGAATATCCTGCAAAATCAATAATATTTTTAAGTGCGGAATAACTTGGTGCATTTAACCTGCTATACTGACATTGAATGCAAGGGTTTCCAGGTTCTCTGCTTTCCTCAGATCAGAAGAAAGTTGGGTGGAAATGATTTGGAAAGATTTTGCAGAAAAGGGATACGAGACGACCATTTGTTGTAAATTTGCACAAAAGTTTGGCTTCCGTTCGACCCAGATCTTTCAATCACGAAAATTAGTTTAAACATTGTTTTAGAATATATAAGTATAACCATAACACCTTTTGACGAGGGCATTTATACTCCCCTGAAAATGTTTCCGGTTTGGGGACATAAATTTGCAGCACGTCTAACTTAATCTCGTGATAAGCTTTCATGATTGACTCTTCACTAAGAGCTTCAATTAACCTGAGTAGTTAAAGAAAAAGTGATTTCAATTTTTTTCCCGTTTATGGATTAAATTATAAAGTATGTGTACTTATATCGCTTGTATTTATCCTTCTCCTTAGCTACGTGGTCCTTCCCTAGAGTTTTGACCCTTGTCTTCTGCTTTTCTAAAAGTATTTCCGAAATTTATTATACGAATTCTTGATACTTGATTATTTGTAAATTCTAAATGTCTATATGTAATGTTACCCAAATTTCCATGTTGGTCAGTTAACACATCCTCAACTATTTTTCTAAATTTTCTCTCCAAATTGGATGTCGTAATTTCATCGCCGGACAAATTCAGCAGTTGGGGACTACAAAAAATTAGTTTGATGGATTTGCTTGTAATTTAATTATTGTAATTTTATAATAAAATATTGTATCATGAAAATGTAATTGTCTTTTATACTGGTATACCTTCTGTTGGTTGGTTGGGCATTCTCGCTTTGCATGCTCGGTTTCTTCGTGTTTTTCAGGTTACTAAATAAGCAATATTATTTGACACTTTATCATTCTATACATGTTGCGACAAATGAATTGTTTCCAACACAAATTTTCATTTTTGAAGAAATTAAATTTGAATTATTATGTACTGACAAAATGGTGTGAGTGGACCGTTGCTAAGTTGGAGGATTGAGATGACCCCCTAGGTCAAATCCGGACCAAGTGATCTCACACCCTCCAGTGGGGTGTCAATCGATCGGTCTAGATAATACGATCAGTTTGGTATATTATAAAATTTTGTGAGATAAGAATTGGCTTCGAAATTCCTGAAAAACTTATATTTTGGAGATATTCTTCAAAATAAACATTTTAATTTTCGAAGTAGTACACTCGAGATTTTCAGCTTAAAAAATCAAGCTAAAAATTAGGATGATTTCATCCTCAGGAATTTAGTCTCTTTGTCTGCCTATTCAAAAGTTATTCAAGGTTAAAGTCGTTGGGGCAAACCAAAGGACTTTTGCCCCAACGATTTAAAAAATGAAAATTTTCTAAAAAATAATCCATTTGTCGCAACCGTATGGGGCACCACCCCATAGAAACGGTGTCAATTAATCGTGCTAAATAAGTTTTAAAATTAACTGTTTATCCAATATTATTAGTCGCAAAAAATTCTGAAAGGTTACCATGCAGGTAAAATAAACTTTAGGAATAAAAATTTGTACACCATCGTCGTCGTTTTACTTATTTTGCAACAGTTTCGCTATTGCTGCCAATCACTAAACTTATTTGAGTAATATATGGCCAAAAAACTTCTCAGGAAAATTGTCGGACCTTTGCGGCTAATAATACTGGATGACTAGTAGGTAATATTATATTTTCGTCACAGCAAAATAATTTACTTACTTGCTCTGCAAAGATTTTATTATGTTGGGGTCTTGCAACTTTAGATTTTTTATGAATAATTCTGCATCTTCTCCAAATTTTGCCAAAAACGGTTTTCCTTCCTCAGAATTGATCATTTCCTGTGCAATATCCATTCTGAGTTGATCCTCTGTTTCATTTTGGTTGATTTCAATTTGCTTGATATGTGGGAAAGCTTGATAGTATTGGAGGGCATATTTTATTATGTAAATTCCACAAGATGAAGAATCCCTCTGTTTAGGACAGCCTGGGAACTCCACCGTCCAATGTTTTTTTGTTTGGGGTTCGCCAACCCTTTTCTGGGTGAAAACTTCATCAAAAAAGTGGGTTAAATTATCTGTTATATTCTTGAGATAATTGTTGTCGTGATCCAGGGGATCGTACAGTTGAAGTGTCCTGGTCTTTATTTCGACCGTGGTCAGCAGCCAGTGGTCCCCATGACGTAGTGGGTGCATAATGTGGGTATGCACTGAACTTAAATCCTCTAACGTGGCCATTGTGGACTGCCATCCAGCTGCCTCCACGCTTCGGCCACCAAAGAATAGTTCCGGATGGTGATACATCGTGCCGGAATGACTCACAAATATTTTCTTCTGTTCTCCTTCGGCGTCGTCCATCAGTTTGTGGAGACGTCCATTTATTATGGTGTCGGACAGCTTCCTAATTACATTAGAGCGAGGTGCGATTGAGTAATGAGTAAATGAGAGGATGGCACAACAATTAAATAAATTTTACGGTATGTAACTTATTTAATGCTACTATTTTTAATTTCAAATTAAAACTCAATTTTCATAAGAAAGGTAGGTAGGTATTTCAATGCCATTTAGTGACAATATATTAGACGGCATTGTGACCAATTTTCAAAGGAATTATGATAAAACTGCTTAAATAAAATATTTTATGTCTATGTCCCCCAATAGCGTCTTGTGTAAAGCTTTCAAAATTCTGCAGGGTAGTAGCACTTATGTATGTCGATGCCAGCATGGCCAAGGAGGTTTATCTCGATTTGTTAAAAACGAATCTTGGTCAATTTGGAACAAAAGCGAACTGTGGTCTAGCATTCATCTTCCCATTTGGCGTGTATTATATAAATATAAGAATTGTTTTAAAATGACTCGCGGACAATAAAATAAAGGTTGTTGGGAAAATTGAATTTGAATTTTAAATTAAAAATCGTAGCATTAAATAAATTACATACTGTATCTAACAGTTGAATAAAATGAATCCAAAATTGTATAACTTATGACCGCTTGTTAAATTTTACTTGTTTGTATTGTAAATATAGGTCCGAAAAGTAATGAAATTGATACGTACCTGTCAGAGTGAAAAAAGTGGTGGAATTCTTTTTTCGGAATTGGAGGAAAGCTTTCCGTCCGGAAGAAAACTGTAGTGTCTGGAAATTGTGTTACCTCACTTCCAGCAATCGGTGAAATTGTTTGGGTAGGTTGCAATGTTCTTCCCTCTGCGTCGCTCTTCCCCCTTTGAAGATCTTTGAGGCGAATATCTCGTCTGTTATGCATATATTTGTTAGTCCGCCCACGCTTCCCCCTCTTATTCCAAGTCTCAGCACATTCTTCAACCTCTTGTTGTGAAAATTCAGCATTCCTCTCTTCTGCATAACAGGTAACATCATTTTGAAGATTTGCTGATGAAGTTGGGGGCTCTTTTCTTGTTTTAGATTTTGGTAGGTTTTCGAGGACGAATCTCTTATTTTTCCCATTCGTAATAGTAAATCTATTACGAATAAAATCCGCCACGTTCTCTGGATTTGCTATTAGATTGTTCTTGATTAATCTGAACTCGGATTCGGTGCCACCATTTGTAACGCGCACAAAGTTTGGGTACTTTGTTTTCTGAACCACTCCCCGTGCAAAAATTCCAATAAATGGAACGTATGTATTTTCATAAATGTTGAGCACGGATGGCGAGTAATATGGATTGCTTGCGGCGTCGACTTCCACATCTTGTACCAAGTTCTTACGTATTTTTCGAAATAAATGGTAGTAGGGCGACTTTTCACGTAGAAGCTTGGTGGCGACCTCATCCTCCTCTTCAAAATTGGGGGAATTTCCGTCATCTGGCTCAACGCAACCATCGAGAGCCATGGAGCTAATCCTTCCCACTGTATTATTAATTTCCTCGGATGTCATTCTTTCCATACCAAACAAAGTACAAACATCTTGCATAGCTATGTTTACTTCATCCAGGCATGTACACTCTTGAAACTTCGCCAAGCCCCTAACACTCGCATCAACTAGTTTCTTTGCATGTTTGCTGGTTGCGGTTTTCCTTCTTACATTATCTAGAAACGACTTTGTAAGATGAGACGCACATAATTGGATACAAGCAATATCTCCGGAAAAGGTTGCTTTATCTTGGAGTACGTCATAGCTTCTTTTCAAATATTCATCAAGTTTCATCACATTAAATGACTCTGACACAGCGTGAAGCATTGCAAAGTTGAAGTCGGTGCAGATAATATCAGGTGCACTTTTGGGCTGGTATGGGCGTAATTTTTTTAATCCTCGTTTTACACTCGTCAAAGGTCCCCCTATATCGTTAGATTGTCCTCTCATTAGGATACTGTCCGCCACAACGAAATTACCACTGCCAGTTTGCGCCACGAAACTGTACAGTAGTAAGGAGTTCCGTGGTCTTGCTGATCTTGGTTGATTTTTTGAATTTGGTTGACTTGATGAATCGAGAGCTCCTCCTGCGTTTGGTAGTGGTTTAAAAATTCCTCCGGTGGCGTCAATTCCAAGTGTCACGTGTTCTTTTGCAATCTTGTCGGCCAAAAGCTTCAGAGACTGCTGATCAAACAGATCAACCCGGAATAGTTTTGGGTCAAGGTTGTAATCTTGCATGTACCCTTTTATAACTCCGTCGGGATTATGTGTAAGTTTATAGTGTTGGTCGAGTTTTTTTAAATCTTCAAAAACATTGGAATCGAATCGTTCCTTAGCTTTTCCTTCGGCTCGAGTTGTTCGTAAAACATCAGTTGTCGGCGGTACATTCCTATGCAGCAGTTCTAATCCAGCGACATGACTCATGTCGGTTAAAAACACTTTAACGGCTGATGTGGTGAGTAAAGTTTTGGCAAGTTTCTCCCTCTCATCTCCAGTGATAGGCCGTGATGTCCGCTTGGATTGCACCAAATTGAACACGCCTGACGACTCACATTTTGCTTTAACTGGAAAGCCTTGTACGGGTGTACAAAGAAAAATTAGGTTGAATTTCATCCCGCAAGTACAATAACCTTCTTGCTTGGCGAATGATTGGTTTTGCTTTTTCGTGGCGTAATAATAAGGCGCTCGGCTGTTTTTAAATGCGCACAGAATTCCAGATTCGCGAAGCCGTTGTGCTAACTCATCACCACGAGCTTTTTTCTCTTGCACAAATTTTCCTGTGTCGTAATTGTAAATCTTCGAAATGCTTTCTGCCGAGAAGATAATATCAATTTCTTTCGGAGGGATATAATTCAGTTCCTCCTCGGTGACATTTAGGACTGAACAAATTGTATCCATGTCAAGTTGGACGTTTTCCAAAGTACGAGTCTCCTTTGCTCTCATAGGGGCAATAACAGTCTCTCGATCGGATTCATGATCAATTTCCGGTTCAGTCATTTCGAGTAAAGAGGTTCTAGTTAAATTGGCCTCCGAATTATCTGATGATCGTATTTGTGTCAAACTGGGATCTTCGCACTCGGTGTGTGTTAAATTTTCAAATCCACCGTCAGCATTATCATGCATGTTGTCCGGATGATGGTCCTTGTCGTTGTCATGATCATCGTCGGGTTGAATGGAGTCAAATTCGCCAGATATCTGATTTTCTTCACGGCATGTCATGCAGTACCATTCTTCGGTTTCTTGTCCTTCTGTGTAGTCACAATGCTGCATTCCCTCCCCATTTTTCTCGTAGTGATACCACGTACCGCAGCCGTCGCACTGAACGGCTGGTAAGTGGTCATCGCCCCTCACGCCACAGTTGCACCAAGTTTCATTTTTCTTCTTGCCTTTTGGAGGAAGGTAGAAATCCTTCTCTGGATACCGTCTCGTAGATTCCCTGGTCCTAGTCGTTGGTTCACGTTGTATGTGAGTATTTTTACGAGACGCTTGCACTGAGGGTGAAGCGCTTTGAGAAGCAGCGTCTTCCGGATCCATTAAATTTGGAAGCTCTGCCAATACAATTTCCTCGGGGTTACGACGCCGATGAGGTGCATTTTTCTTCTGTTGGAATTCCGCCATTTTACAAAAAAATGACTTGCGGACTTCTTGACTGAAGCCCTCGTCCTTGACGAAATTCGCCCAATAATGCTTGTTATCGAACGATAAATATTTTGACTGCGCTGAATTTCTCTCTGTCTTCGTAATTTTTTTCTTTGCAGATTTTTGCTGATCCGTTTCTGCAAATATCTGCGCGAACCCACTGGTTTCAAGTATTGAGAGAAGCGCTGCATTCTTATCTTCTCCTGTATTACAGGCGATCAACTTCTCGTGAAGAACCTTCCCTAATTCGTGGAGAAGGTTATGCGTAATTTTGGGTTTAAGCACTGGTGTTCGATGGTGCAGAGAAGGTCCGCTGGAAGAATTATCATCCGATTTCGGATTAGTGGCCTTTAGCCTTGATTTGTTTGGCTTCGAATACGGAGCATAATTCGCATTGTATTCGGCAAATGGTTGTTTTAATGGCTTTGAGGGTTGTAAGGGCGGGTTAGACACTGTCCAGCCGCCTGGTGGACCACAGCGCTGCAAGATTAATTTCCATCGGTTAAGCGAATGTAATACTAACGTATTATTCATCAAACAGCTTAAAATCGACTTACAAGCAGTCCCATTTCGTCACTCGAAAATGGGAGCAGGGTTGAATTAGTTCCTCCCTGCTTTTTTCGCATTTCTTGTTCTTTTGCCATATTTTCTCTCTCCTCCTTTCTGATCCTCTTCACATCCTTATCATAGTCAAATTCAGGACATTGTGGAAGATATTCATTCCTCTGCTCATTCCTGTGTAATAAATTTTTCCTTAATTATAAGCAATTTTTCAAATCCAATTTGGATACTAAAATTAAATTACAGCAAGCTTTCTGAAATCGTGTTTAGAGAAATGGGAGCAGACGTATGTACATGCAAACATGGTTGCATAATAAAGTCAGAGGCAGCTTGAGACTTATGCATAAAAGTCGAAAGAGAAGGGTTTTTACCAATGGGTTGGAACTCAACGAATAAGTTCTGAAATGCGTAAAAGTGAGTTCCGTATCATGGACAAGTAAATAAGGATCACTAAACTGGACGGCATCTTTGTATGTATAGATCTATGGTTTTGTATATGTGGTGTACATTGGACGAGGGGAAAAAGTCAAACCTGCTCGATTTATCAGTAAAGTTTACGCGATGATCTTTCTCTCTCTCTCTCGCCACACACAAAATGATGCCATGCATGCATATATATGAATGAAGCCAAAATTTTGCACACAAACTACGAATTGAAATCACGAACAACTAACCGTATTTGCTCTGGAATTTCTTCTGCCTGTCTTTCATGAATTTCTTCTCGTGATTCCTTGGCAGGTTCCTCTTCAGATTCATTTAGTAACTCCTGCGTCTGGTCCGTCACTTTTTCTGAATTGTCAACAAGTTGTTCGGAATGAGTCACACTTTCGGTTTCAGAAGCACTTTCTCCCTCTGTTTCCGATTCCGACACCTCCTCGTACATCATTTTTTAATTTAATCAATTTCAAAATTTGGCAAAATTAAGTTTTAGAAAAGTGTATCGCTGGAGTACACCCTGACAATGTGGAGTCCATGGAAGAGGAGGAGAGTGACGACGACGGAAAATCTTCACAATTTGAAAGCGACGACGACGAGAAACTACAAGTGCTTATCTCAGAATTAGAGACGGGTGTACGCGACGAGGAGGAGGAAAGCTGCAATGACGGGAAACTTGACCAGGAAAGGAAAATTACCGAGGAAGAAAACATAAGCGGAATTAAGGGCAACTCTGATAATAAACAAGGTCCAAAAAATTGGAAATCTTAGCGAGACCGTGCAAGAACAACTAATAAATTAAATTACACTGTAGAATTTTTGTATCACCGCTCTCCATACCACTTTTTTACTGGAAGAATTAATCCCTTAAGTAGAATACACTGGTCCCCCTCAATCGGTCTGATGATTTTATCAGAATAAAAATACGGAATATCCAAATTAGTATCTCAAAATTTTAGATTTGTAACTTTTTAAAACAAATATGTATGTACTTCACAATTATTAAACCTTCATATTTGATCTCAGTTAATTTAATTTTCAAACTTCTAGTGTGAAACTTGAAATTACTTCTCGTTTTTTTAAAAATTAAGAATCCATGCGTATGAAAAGCAAAATTCAGAATGGTTCCAGCAAAAATGATACCCAGAGCGATAAAAAACAAATGCTTCAATCTAATTGAATTTATTAGTTAATATTGCACGGCCTCACTAAGATTTCCAATTTTTTGGGACCTTGTGTATTTAAAGCTAATAATTGGTTGTTATTAATAATATATGCACCGCAACACCGCTATTATTTGTCCATCCTGAATATTTTTTTTGGATTTTCCAATCTATATAACTCCTCCATTTCTTAACCGATTTAGGTAATTTTGCACTTAAAATGTTCAGAATGTCTTTTCCTACAATGTTTGCAGTACTGAGTTACACTACCTACGAGGCATGGAAAGCAATGTCTTGAAGGGAAAAGTTTTGCACATTTTGGTGCATATCACCTGGGTAAAGATAAAAAAATTCTCGAACTCGACTTGTGCATAGTTTCGAAATCCCGTAAAAATGATCGGTGCAACACTTTATCAAAATCGGCTCAGAAAATGTCGAATTATGCCACTTTTTGGTGGGCTAAATTAAAACTTATTATTTTTTTTCGTTGTTAGGTATTTGCCACACTGAGGAAAACGACAAACGTTCGACAGCAACGGGGGACCATAAACAGCCTGAGGTTCTGCCAACCACAAACAACTTACCTACAGCGGTCAGACTGACTATGCCTGTTAGCTGTGGCTTGGCTGAGACGTTCAATCCAGTAACAAATCCGTTAGTTTCTCTAATGGGTATGGATTCAGAAATCCATTTCTCATATGTAAATCCCTCAGCCAACAGCGGAACACAAACCATTTCTATGCAAGATCTTACCGAAAACAACGAAAATGCCACAAAGGGAAAATCGACTAATAAGGAAGCAGTTAAATTAAAGGAAAAAGCAGTTGCCATAACTGATGACATTATTTTACAGTGTCTCGTGAAAACAGGAAGTGGGAGGCTGTCGGACGTGATTGGTTTGGACCACGTTATCGTGAGTATGAAGAAAACCATTTTCCTACCATTGGTGGCGGAGAAAGAATTTGGCAGTGACCTTCAAGGCGTGCTGCTTTTTGGACCTTCTGGGGTTGGAAAAACCCATATCTTAAGCTGTCTTGTGGGGGAGCTTAACTATATAAAAGAGGAAAAGTGCAAAACCATCCCAACGATAAGCATCTGGAAGGTAGAGCCAAAAGACATCTTGCATAAGTGGATAGGTATGCTAACTGTGTCGTTAATTTTTACTGTTTATGCCAGCTTAAAATTTATCCTGTCAATATTTTGCAGGTGACTCAGACAAGTACCTCAGTCGGATTTTCGAGTTGGCTCATGAGAAGCGCCCGTCGATAATAATTATTGACGAGATCGACTCTCTATTATGTCAGCGAAAAGAGGACGATCCTGAACACATTCGACGGCTCAAGACGGGATTTCTTTCGTAAGTATTTTCATTTTTTGTATTACGCATCCTTGTAGTACGCATTTATGCATCTTGCTATTATGCAATTAATTACAGGTGCATGGATGGCCTAAATAATTATTCTGGAATTGTGGTCGTGGGTTAGTCTTTGGTGGCACAGACCATTACATAGTTTCAAGTTGCTTAAGTTAACTAAATTTTCCCAGGATTGACAAATTTTCCGCAGCATTTGGATTATGCATTCAGGCGAAGGTTTTCGAAAAGAATTTATATTGGATTACCCGATTCCTTTGCAAGGGAGCGAATACTAGCACACTATTTAAAGAAAACAAATCTTTTAACGGAATCATTCGATCTTGGCAAAATATCTTCAATGACTGAGGGGTATTATATATATGTATATTTCATATGTTGTATTACATATATGTATAGTTTCTTCACTTCTCACCAAATTAATTTCACATTACCGATTTATTTCGCATTAGTTTCTCTGCCCACGACCTTGCTGTTGCCATTTCAAAACTACAAGCACTTCAGTACACTAGTAACTTTTCCTCCGACGGTGTGAACGATATTGTCCAACTTATGAAGGTGGGCTGCAAGCCAACAACATTGATAACCCAGGTATGTCTTATTCGCCATGCTTGAAATACTTGGCCCGTGTCGCTATTACTAATTAATTTTGAATTTCTACTAGGAAATGTTTGAAGGATTAATTCGGACTGATGGATCAACCAATGGGGCCACGAACGATGAGAAAACCGTTGATGAGCTTAAAAGGTGGGGACAAGAATTCGGAGCAGAGGGTATGACTCAACCGGTTTATTATGAAGGAGAGTATGAGCCAACGCTCAGCTCGTGCCTATTTGAAATGTTTTGCTGCCTGTTTTACTAAACATGATCTTACTCGATAAATATTATTTAAATTCAATAAATGCACATCTATTATCAACTTACATATTAAACGAAACTATGGTGAAATCCGCAACCGAGCGTTTGCCTTTCTCTTGCAATTTTTCTCGTTGTGGAAAAAATGCATTACGTATTCCATCATATCTTCGCTCACACTGTGCATTATGAAAAATCCTGTTCTATTATTTATCCAGGCACTGATAATTATAATAGTTCCATCAAAATCGGAGCGAGTTAAAACCGATGCCGATATCAAATTCTTAGTCAAATCTTGTGTAACTTCAGTTCAAATAAATATTTATAATCTGAGTATAAATTGTCATTGTAAATATACAAGTGCGGGGCGGGAAATTTTTTGTCAGGATGCGGGTCAGCGGAGTCTTATGGAGCATGTAATTGTGCATTATTTTCGATTTCAAAGAATGCCGTAAGTCAAATGCCGGGCTGGGGAAGTCAAAATCCAATCATGACATAAATTGACTAGAAATTGACAAGTGCGGGGCGGGAAATTTTTTGTCAGGATGCGGGTCGGCGAAGTCTTATGGAGTATGAAATTGTGCATTATTTTCGATTTCAAGGAATGCCGTAAGTGAAATGCCGCGCTGGGGAAGTCAAAATCCAATTTTGACATGAATTGACTAGAAATTGACAAGTGCGGGGCGGGAAATTTTTTGTCAGGATGCGGGTCGGCGGGGCCTTATGGAGCATGTAATTGTGCATTATTTTAAATTTCAAAGAATGCCGTAAGTCAAATGCCGCGCTGGGGAAGTCAAAATCCAATCATGACATAAATTGACTAGAAATTGACAAGTGCGGGGCGGGAAATTTTTTGTCAGGATGCGGGTCGGCGAAGTCTTATGGAGTATGAAATTGTGCATTATTTTCGATTTCAAGGAATGCCGTAAGTGAAATGCCGCGCTGGGGAAGTCAAAATCCAATCATGACATAAATTGACTAGAAATTGACAAGTGCGGGGCGGGAAATTTTTTGTCAGGATGCGGGTCGGCGGAGTCTTATGGAGCATGTAATTGTGCATTATTTTAAATTTCAAAGAATGCCGTAAGTGAAATGCCGCGCTGGGGAAGTCAAAATCCAATCATGACATAAATTGACTAGAAATTGACAAGTGCGGGGCGGGAAATTTTTTGTCAGGATGCGGGTCGGCGAAGTCTTATGGAGTATGAAATTGTGCATTATTTTCGATTTCAAGGAATGCCGTAAGTGAAATGCCGCGCTGGGGAAGTCAAAATCCAATCATGACATAAATTGACTAGAAATTGACAAGTGCGGGGCGGGAAATTTTTTGTCAGGATGCGGGTCGGCGGAGTCTTATGGAGCATGTAATTGTGCATTATTTTAAATTTCAAAGAATGCCGTAAGTGAAATGCCGCGCTGGGGAAGTCAAAATCCAATCATGACATAAATTGACTAGAAATTGACAAGTGCGGGGCGGGAAATTTTTTGTCAGGATGCGGGTCGGCGAAGTCTTATGGAGTATGAAATTGTGCATTATTTTCGATTTCAAGGAATGCCGTAAGTGAAATGCCGCGCTGGGGAAGTCAAAATCCAATCATGACATAAATTGACTAGAAATTGACAAGTGCGGGGCGGGAAATTTTTTGTCAGGATGCGGGTCGGCGAAGTCTTATGGAGTATGAAATTGTGCATTATTTTCGATTCCAAGGAATGCCGTAAGTGAAATGCCGCGCTGGGGAAGTCAAAATCCAATTTTGACATGAATTGACTAGAAATTGACAAGTGCGGGGCGGGAAATTTTTTGTCAGGATGCGGGTCGGCGGGGCCTTATGGAGCATGTAATTGTGCATTATTTTAAATTTCAAAGAATGCCGTAAGTGAAATGCCGCGCTGGGGAAGTCAAAATCCAATCATGACATAAATTGACTAGAAATTGACAAGTGCGGGGCGGGAAATTTTTTGTCAGGATGCGGGTCGGCGAAGTCTTATGGAGTATGAAATTGTGCATTATTTTCGATTCCAAGGAATGCCGTAAGTGAAATGCCGCGCTGGGGAAGTCAAAATCCAATTTTGACATGAATTGACTAGAAATTGACAAGTGCGGGGCGGGAAATTTTTTGTCAGGATGCGGGTCGGCGGGGCCTTATGGAGCATGTAATTGTGCATTATTTTAAATTTCAAAGAATGCCGTAAGTCAAATGCCGCGCTGGGGAAGTCAAAATCCAATCATGACATAAATTGACTAGAAATTGACAAGTGCGGGGCGGGAAATTTTTTGTCAGGATGCGGGTCGGCGAAGTCTTATGGAGTATGAAATTGTGCATTATTTTCGATTCCAAGGAATGCCGTAAGTGAAATGCCGCGCTGGGGAAGTCAAAATCCAATTTTGACATGAATTGACTAGAAATTGACAAGTGCGGGGCGGGAAATTTTTTGTCAGGATGCGGGTCGGCGGAGTCTTATGGAGCATGTAATTGTGCATTATTTTAAATTTCAAAGAATGCCGTAAGTCAAATGCCGCGCTGGGGAAGTCAAAATCCAATCATGACATAAATTGACTAGAAATTGACAAGTGCGGGGCGGGAAATTTTTTGTCAGGATGCGGGTCGGCGAAGTCTTATGGAGTATGAAATTGTGCATTATTTTCGATTCCAAGGAATGCCGTAAGTGAAATGCCGCGCTGGGGAAGTCAAAATCCAATTTTGACATGAATTGACTAGAAATTGACAAGTGCGGGGCGGGAAATTTTTTGTCAGGATGCGGGTCGGCGGAGTCTTATGGAGCATGTAATTGTGCATTATTTTAAATTTCAAAGAATGCCGTAAGTGAAATGCCGCGCTGGGGAAGTCAAAATCCAATCATGACATAAATTGACTAGAAATTGACAAGTGCGGGGCGGGAAATTTTTTGTCAGGATGCGGGTCGGCGAAGTCTTATGGAGTATGAAATTGTGCATTATTTTCGATTCCAAGGAATGCCGTAAGTGAAATGCCGCGCTGGGGAAGTCAAAATCCAATTTTGACATGAATTGACTAGAAATTGACAAGTGCGGGGCGGGAAATTTTTTGTCAGGATGCGGGTCGGCGGGGCCTTATGGAGCATGTAATTGTGCATTATTTTAAATTTCAAAGAATGCCGTAAGTCAAATGCCGCGCTGGGGAAGTCAAAATCCAATCATGACATAAATTGACTAGAAATTGACAAGTGCGGGGCGGGAAATTTTTTGTCAGGATGCGGGTCGGCGAAGTCTTATGGAGTATGAAATTGTGCATTATTTTCGATTCCAAGGAATGCCGTAAGTGAAATGCCACGCTGGGGAAGTCAAAATCCAATTTTGACATGAATTGACTAGAAATTGACAAGTGCGGGGCGGGAAATTTTTTGTCAGGATGCGGGTCCGCGGGGCCTTATGGAGCATGTAATTGTGCATTATTTTAAATTTCAAAGAATGCCGTAAGTCAAATGCCGCGCTGGGGAAGTCAAAATCCAATCATGACATAAATTGACTAGAAATTGACAAGTGCGGGGCGGGAAATTTTTTGTCAGGATGCGGGTCGGCGGAGTCTTATGGAGCATGTAATTGTGCATTATTTTAAATTTCAAAGAATGCCGTAAGTGAAATGCCGCGCTGGGGAAGTCAAAATCCAATCATGACATAAATTGACTAGAAATTGACAAGTGCGGGGCGGGAAATTTTTTGTCAGGATGCGGGTCGGCGGAGTCTTATGGAGCATGTAATTGTGCATTATTTTAAATTTCAAAGAATGCCGTAAGTGAAATGCCGCGCTGGGGAAGTCAAAATCCAATTTTGACATGAATTGACTAGAAATTGACAAGTGCGGGGCGGGAAATTTTTTGTCAGGATGCGGGTCCGCGGGGCCTTATGGAGCATGTAATTGTGCATTATTTTAAATTTCAAAGAATGCCGTAAGTCAAATGCCGCGCTGGGGAAGTCAAAATCCAATCATGACATAAATTGACTAGAAATTGACAAGTGCGGGGCGGGAAATTTTTTGTCAGGATGCGGGTCGGCGAAGTCTTATGGAGTATGAAATTGTGCATTATTTTCGATTCCAAGGAATGCCGTAAGTGAAATGCCGCGCTTGGGAAGTCAAAATCCAATTTTGACATGAATTGACTAGAAATTGACAAGTGCGGGGCGGGAAATTTTTTGTCAGGATGCGGGTCGGCGGAGTCTTATGGAGCATGTAATCTAACTTCACAGACGTAAATTTCAGTGTGTTTTTTTGAGATAAGTAATTATCTACTGATATGATACAGAAGATAATAATTGATGTGCTTACCTTTGTTAAGAAAAAGCAATTTAAACTGATGCCAGAATTATTTTAAGTTAATTTTCAAGCATGAAGAATGCAACACGTGCAAATTAAACTGGTCACTAAAAAGTTGTGGCGGCCTTCCTATAAGCGGGGCGAAAAGAGACAAACGACACTTCTACCTTCGTTTACCATTTTTTCACTATAAATTTCCTCGAAAATTCGTTGCTATTTTTTTCAAATCGACTTGTTTGTAGTACAAAAAATTTGCTTTAGATTAAAATATTAAAAGTTGCATTTACCTCAAACCTCATGGAGTTGGTTCGATTTTAGAAATTGCATTTGAATACATTGGATAGGGGTAGAGTGAGATTGCGCGCCAACGCGTCATCCATTGGAACCTTAATCTTCATTCGTAATTTCTATACAGTAGATAGATGCGGCTTATTTTAATTTTCATGTGTAATGTGTAATGCATATATTTAATTGAACTTTAAAGCAAAGAACGAGAGGTTTTATTAAGGGGGCATAATACAAAATTAACGCAAACACGTGGACCGTGGTACAAATATTTGACGACAATTATTATGTTTATCTATGACCAAGGAGGAGACCTTGCGAGGTTGTCAGTAACAGATTTCGACGCCCTTGGGATATGTGGTAGTGAAAACAGGGCTTTTTTCACGTTTTTGACGCATTTAAGTGGGTGTGACGGGCGTAAATGTGACCATGGATGGAGTCAAACCACTTCAGGGTTTCAGTAAACTCATGGGACGCTACCACCAGGGTTCGGAAAACCCCGGGGTTTTTCTAGAAAAACCCAACCCCGTGGGTTTTTCCGGGGTTTTTGGGGTTTTTGTGGGTTTTTGGGTTTTTGTGGGTTTTTGTAGATTTTGGGGCAGGTTGAACCAGAATTCCTAAAATTATTTATTAGATAAAGACTAATTTAATATACAATTTTAACATGCAATTTTAACCGTTATCATTGATTTGGACTATTACATAGAAAATTCATGTTTGACATGTAAACCTGGAAATATGCAATGATACTTGGAAATTCAAGTCGCAAATGAAAATTCTCAAAATTTCAAGATGAGGCAGAAAAGTTAATTAGCATTGATCTACGTTGTAGTTAAATGGATTTTGTTTCAATCTGCTTCAAAATCTTACAAAAACCCCGGAAAACCCCACAAAAACCCACAAAAACCCGCAAAAACCCCAACCCACAAAAACCCGGGGTAGCGAACCCTGGCTACCACATATCCAAAAGGCGTCGAAATCTGTTACTAGCAACCTTGGAAGCTCTCCTCCTAAGAGATCTTATTTATAGCATCCATAGGGACCATGCACAACTCAACATCAATTTCCGCTCTACAACCAACACATAAATTTTGGAAATTTAAAGCCTTTCATGTATCTATCAAAACCAAAATTGGATTGGATTTTGGGCGGGAATTATTAAAGCCAAAAACTGCTAAAAGCTTGTACATATATACATACACATGACAATTAGTTAAGTAGTTCGACCAACGAACTAAAATACAGTTAATGTAATTTATTTAGATGGAAGCATGTGTATAAAAAGAAAATGGAACAGACATTGTGATAGTAAAAAATTTTGAATGGGAACTTTGAAATATACTTATTATGTGAAAACGGGTACTTTTTGATTCTATTAATTGGATCCAACTTTTTCCTACTCCAGATTTTGCTCCATGACACCAGCCTTTCTCTTAACCTGTAATAAAGTTACAATTTTTAAAAGTCGAGTTGGTCGTTTTATCTCTGGTTATTTTTTATTATGGACTGACTCTGGGCTCTCGGGTTGTTTTGGGTGATACTAGGGGTCACGATTGGACACGCGTCTTCCAAGCAAGCAGCTAGCCATGTGCTTATCTGCGAATTTTAATGTGTTTTCGCCATGTTAACTTCAATAAATTTGACTTATGAAATGAGCACTAAAGAAAGCCATGTTTGAAAAAGACCAAATAATTTTGAACTTCGGTAAATCTATGTGACACTTTTAGGACAATTTCAAGCGTAATCTAAATCTGCAATCAGTTTTTGTGTAGCTCGTCTGGTTAAAAAAGGAGAATTATAAATCAACAAGCACTCGCGAACAGTTTTCAAGACGAGTAGAAAAGCTAAAATGGCGAGCGGTCGGCAAAAAATTCGAAACCCAGGGAAAAATGAAGTGTTCGGAGTTTTGAAAACTGTAAATAAATTGTAAAATACAGGCAGATGATATGATTTAAATTTGTGTAAATTCAGTCTTACCGTTTTCTTGCTAAAAATTATTATGAAAACATGGCTTTCTTTAGTGCATAACTTAAAGGAGAAATAAATAGATAAAAACTACCTTTCCCTTTTTTTAGCACATAAATGCACCCGTAGTGGGACAGCGCCGTGGTGAAATTTTCACGCTGGTTTTCCAGATCTGGTCGACGATCAAAGTAAACTTGGACAAAGTCAACAAAATCTCGGCTTCTCCCCAGACCCCCCAAAAAATTTTTAAATTCTGCAAATGACTTCTTTGCTACCACGTCATATTCGTAGAGGTCAGCTGGATCGAAGGGATCAACTTGCGGCGCGGTTGTGCAATTGTCGAGAAGGGATTTTATCCGAATTAATCGCTTGCTCACTAAAGAATTAGTTCGATCATTAGGGGCCGTTCATAAATTATGTAACGTAAAAATCGACTTTTTTCAGACCCCTCTGTCACACTAGTGTAACGCAAGACCACTACTCCCTCCCCCTGTGTAACGTAGCGCAAATCTCATTTTCTCCCAAAAATTAAAGACCCAAAATGAAAGTGCGAATAGTGGATAACCCCGTTCTTTTTTGTTAGTTAAGAGGTGATAAAGGCTTTGTTAAATTTCTGTGTTCTTTTGTTATTAGAAATTAGGACTATTCTCAATTTTCCTAATTTAACTTTAATTTTCCTAAATTTTCAAACCGCGTGGTTAATTTTTTTGCTCAATTGCTGATTTTAGCCTATTTATGTTTGTGTGACGTAACGCGGGATTCTGACCCCCCTCGTCACATCTTACTCTGAGTACCCCTCCCCCCCTCTCGCGTTACATAATTTATGAACGGTCCACTGAAACTTGAGACAAAATATGAACATTCCGTGAGAATGAGAATAAACGAGTGCCTTACAACTATGCCATGTGACATCTTTGGGTCCGGTCCTTCTGGACAGAAACGCCTCCACCTCATTCTAAAAATAATATAGACAATGAAAAACTTAGACATGTTGTATTAAATATGTAATCAGTGTTCTCCCAAGATTTCGGCTTTTCGAATCTTATAATCTGCGTTTTTCTCTAAATTTATGCAACTCCTGAGCTAGGAGCTATCAATTAGTATACGATGTAAATTTGGGATAAAAACATGCATACCTGTTCACTTTGATTCATGGGATTCATTATGATAGAGAATGATAGTGAATGAAAATGAATTTCCTGTGATTTGAATTATAATGAGTGGTAGATTCAGTCCTTTGGGATGGAATGAAAGGATTTCTCACTCCTTTCATTTTTCACCCTATGCTTCATACATGGGGCGAAGTAAGAAATGAAGTCAGATGAAGTGAAATGAAATGAGTTTGAAAGAAAATGACTGAATGTGAATGAAAATCTTCAGTCAGAAATCGAGATGACTGAACTTTGAATAAAAATAGTTTGTTTGAACAGATATGAAAACATGTACAAAACAAATAAGCATTACAATCGGCTTGGGGGTTGTGTTTTTTAGCGAACCGTATGCAATGAATGATTGTTAATCATTCATTTTGTTTCCTAAACTTGTCATGTATGTATGCTTAAAATGAATGAAAAAAGCGAATTGTATACAAAACTAAGCTAATCAACGTTTATTTATGGAAAAGCTATAGGGTTTTATTTTCCTGTCAAAAACAATTTTTCCCATACGGCCGATGAGAAAAAGTGGAATAAAGGCCGGGCGAATGGTTTCCAGATCTAACCAAATTAGTAATTGACAACTGCAATTACAAATTAGTAATTGTAATTTGTAATTGCAATTACTTCATTCAGAAAATGTAATTTTAATTGTAATTTGTAATTGAACTAAATGTAATTTGTAATTGGAAGAAACCAGCCCAACTGTACTACAAAACGCTTTTCCATATTAAGCAAAAAGCAGAGCGAGAATCAGACTCTGGTGGGTATCCACCACCACCGCTGGCTCTCGTTGCGACAGTGCCGGGATTATGAACCAACTCGTGTTGAGATGCTTTTCATCTCTCACACGAGTTGGTTCATCGTTTTAAACTCTCCAGTTTTTCAAATAAAAATAAAAAAAACGTGCGAATTTTTAATAAAATATTTAAAAAGTGCACCATGGAGGATTACTCCTCCCCCAGCGAGCAGCCACCTCCACCACCACCCCCCATTGCACCCCTGCCACCACCGCCACCCCCACTTTCGTCGCCATCATCATCGTCGCGTTAATTTTCGAGCGCATAGTATCATTATAAATTCCGAAACGCGTAAGTTTTAAATTTGGGGCGGTTTGGACAGACTAAATTTGCTTATCTTAGAAATTGATAAGTACACTGATAAGCACTGTAGCGTAAAAATTTGAGTGCACATTATCATTATATATTCAGAAAAGCTTAAGTTTTAAATTTTTTGGCTATTTATTATATACATGTCATTATTGCATAAGCTGCCTTGCTACGGCTCTTGCCTTATGAAGCGCCTCCCCCAGAAACTTTGACCCCAAAAAACTCATGGTAGCGGCCATTTTTAGTCGGACAACCAAGGCTGAAAATGTAGCTCTTCTCATGAAGAAAAATCTGGCATCAGGTTGTCAGACTAAAAATGGCCGCTACCATGATTTTTTTAACGATTTATGTGTATGTGAAAAAACCGCCAATTTTCGAATTTTGAAACTCTTGATGCATCAAAATGTTCGTATTCAAGGGGGAAGTCAAATGTCAAATGCAACTTGGGGTCTAAATCTTTTTGTACCGAGTGTACATTTATTTTCTCACTTTTCCCAATTTTCTTCCGCAATTTTTGAAGGGGGTGTGGTTGCATATAAATTAATAATAGCTACGTTATATTGATCCTTTCACCAAAATATAAGGTTCCAATTTTTTATGCGAAATTCGGTGACATCGAGGCGAAAAGGGGTTGTACAGTACACTCGGCCTTCCTCAATTGTACATTTCAACATGGTGTAATCGTAATTCAATTACTTCTTCAATTACAATTACTAAATCACCATCTATCATGAGAAGAACCAATCAAAATTCAAGGTTTTTGTTAAATTTGCCGTAATATGTGAACATTTCACTGACTTTCACCTTTTGGATTAAAACAAACATTTTTTCGTATTCGCAATTTTTGTTAAATTACATCAGAATTAATTACTACCTAGGGTGTATAACTCCTTTGACACATTGGGCCTTATGCATGAAAATAAGTTGTTACAAATTACGCAATTGAATTATAAATCAAATTACTAATTATGTATAAGGCTCTCGCCATGGGAAGTTGATCACTTGATAGTTTCGTACAGGAGCGGTCGAAAAATAGGTTTTGAAATCTGAAATTGTTGTGGAATACGCCAAATATATCTAGCCACATGCTACAAAAGTTTCATAAGTTTTCATTGTAAAACAAATTTCGTACACCACTTCAAAGCGAAGAACTCGCGAAATGAGTTTTTCGTAAGTGCCAAAATTTGAGATACAGAGACTCGAAGAAGACTTGGCTACATTTCATCAGAGAAGGGTGTGGCCGTACAAAAATCAACACATACATACAAAAGTATGGAGAATCCGAAAATGTCAACTTCAAATAACCACCATTTGAAAAAACCATCATATTGACCCCTCAAAAGTTAAAAACGATTCAATCATTTTTTGAAAATTATTCATCCACGTCGGTGCCTGATGCGGCCATGAAATCAAAGATTAATACAAACCACTTGTATAATATTAATGCCTATAAAATGGGGGTCAAAGCGTATGCAAAGAAATCTCCAGCAACACATACAGGAACTAAAGAAAAAATGGTAATTATATGGTAATTGTATGGTAATGGTAATTAATTTTACTTGCAAAATTTGCAAGTAAAAGCTTTTTCTACGTGGAGATTTGGATGTAAAGGTAATTGTTAAAAGTATTGAAATTATTTTACTATTAAATTATGAATTTTCATTAAAAAATCTTAAATGTAATAGTAATTTGTGATATAATTCAATTACGTAATTTGTAATTGTAATTGAAGCGAATTTTTTTAGAGAAGTAATTGTAATTTGTAATTAGTAGTTGAGTTTTCTTGAGTAATTGTAACTGTAATTGAAGTAATGTTGTGATTGTAATTTGTAATTTGCCTTCCAAGTAATTTGGCCAGCTCTGATGGTTTCTAACGTTGAAAAGTGCGAAATTATGGCAGCTCATCTGTTCAGTTATGGGCAAGGCTAATCTGTTTATAATTATTCATTCATATTCGCGATTTCCATGATTTTCTGGACATTTCATCCTTCCACACTTTTAAATAGTTTTGATTGTTTCCTATTTTCCAGTATCAATACATATAAATCTGTGTTATTTTTAAAGATATAACTTATTATATCTCAAAATTCTATGGATAATACGAATATATAATTGAATTTTGGAAGCATGCCGTTTTCAACAAGTTTTTTCTAATCACCACAAAACCGAGTTTTTTCCATTTCCCGTCTATTTCTGATGACAAAAATGCCCGTTCCCCATTAACGGGGTCATCCATAAATTTTGTCACGCAAAAATTGCGATTTTCTAGACACCCGAATCATAATAATTGGTTAAATAATTTAGACAATTAATTTGTTGTTTTACTCACTACGTTAACTTCGTCATTCTTTGGAAGCGAAGTTTTAGTCTTGCTTAACCGGCCCAGATTTTCTAAAGCTTCGACTGGTTCTTCATAAATTTCGTCCCCATCGTGGCTCTGAGGTTCTAAACATTTTTCAATATTTGACAATTGGCATAATTTGAGTAAATATAAAATAAACCGTCGCAAACGCGCATACGGAAGTAGCTTCAGATGTACTTCACCCCAAACGGTCCCACCACAACTCGGGAACACTTAATTTCACTCTATTTCACCTATAGATTAATTTTTTGTAAAAATCTCATTTTGCCCCGACCACACCCCCTGGCGACGAGGGGGTGTGGAACAACTCGGGAACACTTAATTTCACTCTATTTCACCTATAGATTAATTTTTTGTAAAAATCTCATTTTGCCCCAACCACACCCCTGGCGCCTAGGGGGTGTGGCACAACTCCGGAACACATAATTTTACTCTATTTCACCTATAGATTAAATTGCACTAAAAATCTCATTTTGCCCCAACCACACCCGCTGGCGCCGAAGGGGTGCGGCAAAATCGGGGAAACACTCAATTTCACTTAATTTCATTTAATTTCACTCAATTTCACTTAATTTTACCCATAGAATAAATTGCACTAAAAATCTCATTTTGCCCCAACCACACCCCCTGGGGCCGAGGGGGTGTGGCACAATCGGGGAAGCACTTAATTTCACTTAATTTCACTTAATTTCATTTAATTTCACTCAATTTCACCTAATTTTACCCATAGATTAAATTGCACTAAAAATCTCATTTTGCCCCAACCACACCCCCTGGCGCCGAGGGGGTGTGGCACAACTCCGGAACACATAATTTTACTCTATTTCACCTATAGATTAAATTGCACTAAAAATCTCATTTTGCCCCGACCACACCCCCTGTCGCCAAAGGGGGTGTGGTCCGGTTGCCCCCAAAAGTTGATAGGATCCTCCCCCTGGGGTCCTATGTATGATGGCGAAAACCGATTTCGATTATCTCGATCCGTTCTCCTGATATCCTGCTGACAGACAGACGGACAGACAGACAGACAGACAGACAGACAGACAGACAAAGTCTTCACATAAAGTAGCTGAAGCTACTTAATAATATGGAATCATGATTTGATCTTCGTACCGTGCCCGTGAGACGTTTCATCTTTTTCCTCAGCAATAGGAGGAGGAATGAGGTCGTGCTGCAATGACGCCTTTACGACCTATCGTAAACCATAAAAAATAAACCATTACAACGAATGTAACCAAGGGGTGAAATAAAGTTTCATACGTTAAAATGAATATCATATTAGATATTTTTAAATAAAATATTGAAAACTGTGACGGAGAAAGACTGACCAATGCTTCCAAAATTTTACGCTCAATCGGACCCATAGGGGTCAAACAACCATTTCGAACAAGGGCATTTCAAATTATTAGAAGCATTAACGATTCCGGATAAATTTTGCATTTTAGTTTGTACCAAGTAGTTTTATGCAAATTTTAAAACTGTTAATTTACTTTGGGCACATCTATAATTTTGCAAAATTGCCCACCTGCAAATAGAGGCTGCCTTCTAGCATGACCTTATCCGCGACGAAGTTTCCGCTTCTGTGCGTTTCCAGGATTTGCAAGACGACTGGAGTAGCTCCTTCAGAGAAGTTTGAGAGGTAATCTGTCGCAGTGTCTTTGGTCATCCCGCCAGGAGACCCGTACCGCTTAAAAATTACGTATAAAATGCGAATTGTCCATTTTTTACTCTTCCACCAATCGTGCTCTTCCAACCCTTGGCGTTCCTCATCTTCCACTGGATTCTTTTCCAATTCCGGGTTTGTCCTAAATTAAATGGACCTTTAGTTCGACCTCCGTTAATGCGCATGAGTTCCACCACTCACCTAGCCAGAACATGTTTAACTAGCTCCATCCACTGTTGAAACCTGGTGCAGCTTCCTCTCTCGCCGAGTGGGAGCTGGTACTGAATGAGGGCGTAGAACGTCTTGAGAGCTAAACGCTGGATCATAAGAGCTTGAGGGGAATCATCCGGCAGCACACGGACCATGATTTGTTGAACAAGGGGGAGAAGGGTATCCACCGCCTCGTCAAGTGGCACCCGCTCGTCGCCCCTCTTATGGTCAAAACTCTGTCAAAATCAGATAATTAATTAGTTTGTGAAATTAATTTCAAGAGGAAAATATATTTCCAACCTTAACCAGGACACGGAACCCGCTCAACGCTCCTGGGTATCCCGCTGCGTCCGGTGATTGTAAATAGATGACGATGTCATCGACAAGGGATGGCCAGCGGGTGGGAAAGTCGGCTTTGCAAATGTATCCGATGCATTCGCAGAGTTCGGATCGGATAATTTGTGGGGCTTCGACGGCAGCATCGACGAGGGCGTCGCGAATGACGGCACGATCTTGGTCACGCAACTGGAAACGGGTAGTGTCCTCCACTGACCACGAGTTTAAAATGAATTTTTTTAAGTGATGCACCCCCGCTTGACGGATTGGCATCCCGACCCCGTGTGACATGATGATTTGGAGGAGGGCTGGAGCAACTCCGGGAATATTTTCGACCTGTTAATTAAACTTTGATTACTTTTCAGTTAATTAATCTGTGATGATCAGATGTCGGATATGAATGATGGATAAAAGGTCAAAATATGAATGAAAAATGTATATAAAAATCCTAAAAATATTACTTCAGAAATAAGTTATTTTTGTATGTTTAGCCTCTGTGCTACTCTATTTTTGTCAATAACATTAGGTCTGGGGTTATTTAATAAGACGAAGAGAATGACCAAAGTGAATGTGCAAATTTCTGCAAATTTTTCACTCTGAATCATTTTGAGAAAACTGAATTTTTTTCCATTTTCTGGAAAATTGGTATACACATAAATAAATCTTCGAATTTGGCCAGAAGTCATATTTCATTCATATCCGACGTATGGTGATGATTATGAGGAAGTTAGAAATTCACCTTGTTGAGCTCCTCGTCTGCAGCGGAGTGTTGATTAGGATCAATCGTGGCACGGAGGAGTCCTTCCATCCTTCTAATGTCCATTTTTACTAGGATTCGAAATAAAATTCCAGTCCAACAAAGCCTTTTCTGCTGATTTCCTCCACTTGAATAATCTGAAGACGAATTAACATGAAACTTGACCGCTCAACCGTGCAGGAAGCCCAACGAGTGGTCCCCTTTGTGACGAGTTGACTACGTCTGCAAAAGCACACAGAAAAGATAAATCGTCGCAATTTAATTTAATTTTTAACTACTTTGATAAAATCAGTCCTTCTTTTGTACATAAATAGTTAACATATGTATGTATGTATGACTGGACGGCTAAACTTATGTATGTATCACAAAAATACTCAAGATCAATACATTTTAAATCATTTCTCGGCTCTGGGATTTTACTTTAAAATTCTGCACAAATTTGCAGGCTGTAAGTTGATTAATAAAATGATGATGAGTTTTACAGTGAGGTTTTGATGAGTCCCAATTTTCTGAAGGTTTCTTAAACTTGACACCTTCTCCGGAATAAATTGTCAAAATCTGGAGTGTGTATTTCTACATAATTGGCAATGACCCGGTATATGTAGAAATTTGTAAGTCGCAATGTTAAAATAAATTCCCACAGCGGAATTATGCGCTAATTAGTGAAAGTTGATTAATTAGTTAAAATTAAAATTGTACGTGCATACATATCCTATTTGATAGAACTGAAGTATGTCCTGCTTCTGACCTCTCTACAAATTTATGTCCTGCATTTGAAAATTTACAAAATCATGAGTCTGTACATCTCATTTTTCCATATTTTATACTGATTTTTACTCTCACCTTTTCCTTTTTTCCCTCCGTAACTATTTCCAGGTTGGGTTTAAGCGCGCAGGCATCAATCTTTGTGGCGTCGAACAGCCTCCAAAAGTGAGTCTTGTTCCGAGCGGACGTTTTGAATCCAAGCTTGTGAAGTTGCGTATGTATTTAAGCAGTGGAACTCTGCGCCCAAATTGAGATAATTTTAATTTTCTACTTTAAAGCATGAAAAAAGTTACATATTTTATAATATGTATGATCCTCGCTGTTGGCACAGGCATTTTTGCACAATTTGTATCGTAACGTAGGACTCGAAGTCTACAGATAATCAAAATATATACAGATATATCAACAAAATTTAATTTATGAAAAATATTAGCTTTGGAAGTTGGAAAAAAGTAGATAACTTAATTTTGAAGTTTTTATGCTTTAAGCATACTTAAGTTTACAAAACTAATATTATAAAATTAACTATAAAAACTTATATTTTTATCTTTTAATTATTCTTTCTGGGATTTGGATTGTGTGCTCTAAGCGGGATCATCTTTTGTCTGTTCTTTTAAGACTTGAATATATTAGATTAGGGGTTTTTCTTTTATTATTAGCGTTATTGAGAAAAGGAGATTTTTTCTATTCTTTAGTTTATATTACTTTTACAGCATGTGAGGGTGCTCTAGGTCTTTCTATTTTAGTGGTGATAAGACGGACGCATGGAGGTGATTATTTTAAGTCTTTTAATTTTTTTTAAAATTTATGATAGTAAATTTATTTTTTATCTTTTTATTTATAGGGTTTTTAAAGAAGTTTAAATTAAATTAAATTTATGTGTTAACATTTATTTCTGTTTATCTAGTAATTTATACATTAGTGGGTCAGCCAGAAACGTTTTACTTAGACTCTTTATTTTACTATGATGGGGTTAGACTTATTTTAGTGTCTCTAAGAGTTTGGGTTAGAATTTTAATAATTTTTTCTAGATATAAAATTTTTCGTTTCAAGGAGCATACTTTTTATTTTTATAGTTTTGTTTTTTTATTACTTTTTATTTTACTATTGACTTTTTTTTCGGGTAATTTATTATTTTTTTATTTTTTTTAAGGTTTCTCTAATCCCGACACTTTTAATTATTATGGGTTGGGGCTACCAACCTGAGCGTGTTCAAGCAGGGATGTATTTTTTATTTTATACGCTCACAGCGTCGTTACCTTTACTTTTATTAATTATGTACTTATATATAATTGGAGGTGGTGTTTCTTTATTTTATAAGGAGTTACTTTTTTATCCATTTTTAGGTTTTAATTTCTTTGTAATTACTGCTTTTATGGGTTCGATAGCCTTTTTAGTTAAACTCCCTATGTATTTTACACATTTGTAACTCCCTAAAGCTCATGTTGAGGCCCCCGTGGCAGGCTCGATAATTTTAGCTGGGGTTTTATTAAAGTTAGGGGGTTACGGGCTTACACGAGTTCTTAGTATCACAGGGGTTTCGGTCATAAAGTTTAGCCCTTACTTTATAGGGCTAAGATTAGCTAGAATAATGTTTACAGGGATCTTGTGCTGTCGTTTAAATGATTTTAAAGCTTTAGTAGCGTACTCTTCAGTAGCCCACATAGCTATGGTGATTGGGGGGCTAATAACTCTCTATTCATGGGGATTTATGGGGGCCTTAGTGATGATAGTAGCTCATGGAGTTTCCTCTTCAGGTTTATTTTGTATGGTTAACTTATACTACGAACGAACTGGGAGCCGAAGTTTTTTTATTAATAAGGGGCTTATTTTAAGTTTTCCTATTTTTTCTTTACTTATATTTTTTCTCTGCGCGTCGAACATTGCTGCCCCTCCGACTATTAATTTATTATCAGAGATTTTTTTGATAGCTAGAATTATGAGTTACGACTATGCCATACTTTTATTTTTTCCTCTAGGCTCCTTTTTAGGGGCTGTTTTTACATTATTTATATTTTCGTTTTCACAACACGGGTCTTCTTATAATTCACTGTATGGGTTTGTTCATTCTAATGTTCGTGAGACCCATACTATTAGACTTCACATTGTCCCAGTAAATTTTTTAGTTTTAGGGCCTAATTTTATTTTTACATTTTACTAAATAATTTCATTTAAATAGTTTAAGAAAAATTTTAGTTTGTGATTCTATAGATGGGGGAGCCCTTTAAGTAATATTTTATTTGGTTTTACCTTTTTATTTAGGGGTTTTATTATTAGTGTCTAGCTTAATCAGTATGCGGTTTGGTCTTTTATATTTTCTTTCTGCTGAAACTATATTTGTTGAATGAGAAATATTTTCTTTTAGATCAACTTCTATTATTATAACTCTTATTTTTGATTGAATAAGTTTGAGATTCACAGGGCTCGTAATATTTATTTCTTCTATGGTACTTTTCTATAGAATCATATATATAGAGGGGGACAAGTTTTTAACTCGGTTTATTTTTTTAGTGTATTTCTTTGTCTTGAGTATAGTCTTTATAATTTTAAGCCCTAATATAATTAGAATCTTATTGGGGTGGGACGGACTCGGTCTTGTGTCGTATTGTTTAGTAATTTATTACCAAAATGTAAAAAGAGCAAATGCGGGTATAATTACAGTTCTCTCTAACCGTGTGGGTGACGTAGCTATTCTTTTATGCATTTCATGGCTACTGAATTTTGGTAGATGGAATTTTTTTTATTCGCAGTTTGTCTATTCGTACGAAGTAGTTTCTTTTATAGTTATCCTAGTAATTTTAGCAGCTATAACAAAAAGAGCTCAAATACCCTTTTCTGCCTGGCTACCTGCGGCTATAGCAGCCCCCACCCCAGTTTCGGCTCTTGTGCATTCATCTACTTTAGTCACAGCTGGGGTGTATCTATTAATTCGGTTTAATTACACTTTAGGTATTAATAATTTTTTATTATTTATTGGTATGTTGACTATATTTATATCAGGTTTAGGGGCTAATTTTGAGATAGATTTAAAAAAAATTATTGCCTTATCAACACTAAGTCAGCTCGGGTTAATAATAACATCTTTGGGGCTGGGCTTCTACGAGTATGCCTTTTTCCATCTTTTAACTCATGCTATATTTAAATCCCTATTATTTCTATGTGCTGGGGTGTTTATTCATTCTATAGGGGACACTCAGGATATTCGAGCGATAGGGGGCTAATGATTTCTTGCCCAGTTACATCTTTGTACTTCATTATTTCTTCAATAGCTCTTTGTGGGTTTCCGTTTTTATCAGGATTTTTTTCTAGGGATATAATTATTGAATTTTTTTTTCAAGGGAGAATAAATTTAATTATGGGATGCTTAATAGTTTTATCTACATTGTTTACATTAACGTACTCTGTTCGCCTTTTGTATTTTTCTTTTTTTAATAATATGGGTAACCGGTATCTTTTAAGTTTAGCTGAGAGAATTAACATACTGATTCCGATAACATTTTTAATTTTTATGTCAGTTTTGGCTGGCGGGTGGCTTAGAGTTTATCTATTTCCTATGAATTTTATTTTTCTACCCCTGTGGCTTAAATTATTGGTCGTTACTATAATTTTTAGTTTTTTCTTTATTTATTTTTTCTTAGTAGACTTTAAGGTCATAAAGAAAATTAGCTCTACCTCAGGTTTAGACTATTTTTTAGGTTCTATGTGACTGCTTCCTTTTATTTCTACTTTTGCTCTGACTCCTATTATTAAGTACGGCGTAAAAATTTTAAATCTTGCGGACCAAGGTTGAGTGGAGTTTTTAGGGGGGCAAGGATTTATTGACAAATCTAAGTTTATTTCTTCCAAGGCAGATGTATTAAATTCCGTAAGAATGAAATTCTTCATATTTAGTTTCTTTATGGGTGTATTGGTTTTATTTTTAGCTTAGTTTATATTTTTATAGCTTATATAAAAGAGCACTACGTTGAAGTTGTAGGGGAAGACTGAGTCTTGAAAATGTATCCCATAAAAATATATTTATTTATTTAAACATTGAAAATGTTTTGTTTTTAATTAAACTAAAATAGAAAAAAGAAAATAACGGAGTTTAACCGTTAAAATTTTAAGTTAGCGGCTTAAATTTGGCTCCCTTTTCTTATTAAAGAGGCTGAGTGCCTAATAGCCATTAACAGTGGCTCGCCGCTTCTTTGGCTTCCTTTAAAATAAGGGGAGAACCCAAATTTTTCAGGTCGAAACTGACCGCGATTTTTCGCTTCTTACTTGTGTAAGATAGACTTTCACAGTACTTTCTGAATGCAACC